ACTTTTATTTCTTTAAAACAAGACAGTAGCAAATTTTTTTCAGCCAAGGCTCATACTCGTTTGTCTGGATGGATTAGTGATTGTATTGGATATGAGGTCTGTAGTTTTAATACAAAAGCTACCACGTAGGTCTTTTCCTCTGGCTCATGTGCTTAAGATGGATTAACCACTCAGAGTTATTTGCCTGAAATGTAAGGGCTTCCATAACAAAGAGGAGAGGGATAAAACAAAATTCAGAAAGACATCATCATCTGTAGATAGGTCTTTGATAATCTATTCAAGAATGCCATGAAAGAAGTTAAAACCACAGCAGTCTGAGACAGGCCCTCAATAAATACTGAAAAAAGAATTTTTTGTTTTCACATAATTCCTAGGCATAAAAAATTACTTAAGGCTCGGCGCCTGTAGGTCAGTGAGTATGAGGCTCTGCTCGGCCACATACACTGAGGCTGGCAGGTTCAAGCCTGGCCTGGACCTGCTAAACAACAATGATAACTGCAACCAAAAATAGCCGGGTGTTGTGGTGGGCACCTGTAGTCTCAGCTACTTGGGAGGCTGAGGCAAGAGGATTGCTTAAGCCCAAAAGTTGGATGTTGCTGTGAGCTGTGACAGCACAGTACTCTACCAAGGGCGACATAGTGATACTCTGTCTCAAAAAAAAAAAAAAAAAAATTACTTAAATATATTCATCTCTTAATCTACTGTGTAGGTAATGTCTGTCTTTCAATTTATTGTCTCTTCCTTTGGGGATTTTATTAAACTGAAGAGAGTGATAAATTCAGCTTCATTAATTCTCTCTTCCTATGCTGTCCACAAGGAAGAAAGCCTAAACTAACAAGACTCCAGTAACTTAAACATTTCTTTGTTAGTCCTTAATAAATTTAAAAATTACAGCCTCAGCAAAGCAAGACCCTGTCTGTACTGAAAATAGAAAAATTAGCCGGCATTGTGGTGGGTGCCTGTAGTCCCAGCTACTTGGAAGGCTGAGGCAAGAGGATTGCTTGAACCCAGGAGTTTGAGGTTGCT